CAGTTGATGTGGTAGTGGAACAAGTGTTAGTGCGTAGTAAAATTATACATACTCATCATTATTACTCACTTCATTAAACCATAAGCAATTAGTTTTTAGTTATCGGTCCCTTTAGAAAATATGATTACAAAAGATATGTGTAAATGTTCCAAGTCAATTAACCAAGCGGCAAATACAAAAGATATTACCAACAATAAATGTGTTAACGATTAAACCTATGTAGATCTATTACGAGACAAAAGAAATAGTAAGAATACTGAAAACACGACCTTGATTAATAGCACGCTGGTTAATTACGCAAGTAAACCGTGGGAAAGGCGTTTGCGCGGCAAACTCCCTGCTTTCCGCGACACTCTCCCCCCTTGACTCACTCCGAGTCAAAAACAAGACGGGTCCGCCATAGCGCGTCGGCAGCTGCAGCTCTACGAGGCCTATTCCGTACTTCCTTTCTTTCACTGTCACCATTTCCTATATCCCCCACTTCGTCACTTGTCCCTGTTATCTCCAAAGGATAAAGTTTAGTAATTGGTCTATTAAGTAAATCTCGCTTACCTTTGCAAATCTTAACTACAGAAGCACCCCGTATCTTACCATCCTTACCGACGATTAATCTTTCGATTCTTCCAATCTTCCATTGACTTCTTTTGACATTTTCATCCTCTATCAATACTATGTCTCCTTTATGAATGTCACAATTGTCGGCTCCAGCAGCATTATGCTTTTCACGTAGTTCCCTCAAATATTCGGTTCTCCATCTCTTCCAAAAATGTTGTAATTTCCTAACTAGATAAAGGAATCGTTTACTATGCGAAGTTTCATCATCAGAATAATTAAATTCTATATGATCTGCAAGAGGTGATAATCTCCTACCAAACATTAAATGAGACGGTGTTAGTATGTCAACATTAAAATCATCCTCGTATATGTACGTCAGTGGTCGAGAATTCAAAATTCCTTCCACTTCTACTATAACAGTATGCATTTCATCCTTATTCAAAAGAGCATTGCCAAGAATTTTTCTAAGTATACGTTTAACTAAACCAACCATTCGTTCAAACATGCCACCCCACCACGGACTTCTTTCTAGATTAAATTTCCATTCTATTCTTCTTGACTCCAACTCCCGCTGCATATCTTTATTTCTGAATATACGATTGATAGACTTGGCTGCTGCCTTAAAAGTTTTTGCGTTGTCGGATACGATTAACTCTGGCGTACCTCTTCGAGCAGTAAATCGTCTTAAGCATCTTAAGAAAGACTGAGCTGTAAGATCTTCCACCAATTCTAAATGTAAAGCACGTGTTACACAGCATGAAAAAAGGGTGATATACGTTTTACGTGTTTTACCCTTTAACCCCTTGACATACAACGGTCCAGCAAAATCAACACCTACTTTGCTGAAAGGCGGTGACTCCTGTACTCTAAAATCTGGTAACGGTGCCATAGGTGGTGCCTTATAAGCCTTACCCTCCAATTTCTTACAGATTATACAAGGCTTGATAAGCTTCTTAATGAATTGCCTCCCCTTAGTAATCCAAAACCGAGATCTTAATTCCGTTAAAGTGATACGAAGACCCTCATGCCCCATTAACGCATGGACATGTAAAACAACGAGTTCCGTGAAATGATGGTTCTTTGGCAATATTATAGGAAATTTGCTCTCAAATTCCATATCTGAGTTTGATAGTCTACCTACACATCTTAAAATGCCACTCTGCTCTTCAATGCGTAGCTGTTTCTTAAGCAATTCAAATTTTGGATCTTGTTTCAAGACTGCCTGCGCATTAATAATCCACAACCTTTCCGCAGACAAGATTTCTGGTACAGTTACAGATCCAATTAATTTTTCCTGTTTGTTCATTTTAGCTTTAAGATTATTTATGAATCGGCAGACATATGCAGTAACGCGTACAAGCTTATCATACGAACTGTACTTATTAATGTCAATGAGTTGATCAATATCCTTAGAACTCTCCTCTCTAATCAACATGGAATTGACAACCTTCTTACGTTCCACATCTACTTCAGAAGGTCTACCTAAATCAATATTTGACGGCCAACAAGACTTATCTTGACATAACCAGTCTGGACCATGCCACCATAACTCACTATCCTTCAAAGTATCAGCATAAACCCCACGCGATCCTAAATCTGCTGGATTATCTTTACCGGGACAATGTCTCCACTCTTCACTTGAAGATAACCTTAAAATTTCATTCACTCTGTGTTGCACAAACTGTTTCCATTCATTTCTGTTATTTATCCAAAACAATGCGGTTTTACTGTCAAGCCAAAGATACCTTTCCTCTATATAACAGTAACTACTTAAGGCTGAGGAAACAGTTTTAATTAGTGTTGCAAGAATTCTAGCAGACATTAATTCTAAACGCGGGATAGAAAGAGCTTTCAATGGTGCTACTCTGGTTTTTGAACATACTAGCTGACTGAAAACTCCTTCCTTAGCTTCATAAACAAAATACACGGTAGCACAATAACCCTTTAAAGACGCATCAGCAAAACCATGTAGGGAACAATGCAAAATTTTCTCAGCATTCTTCCCATACAAACATCTGGGAATAACAATAGAGCCCACATTAATTAATGAACTTAACCAATTATTCCAACGCTCTAATTTATCAGGGGGTAACTCGTCGTCCCACCCAATATTTTCGACACACAATTCCTGAAAAAGAAATTTCCCATTAATCAGAATAGGCGAAAGAACTCCTAACGGGTCAAAAGTTTTGGCAAGAAAACTTAATATTTCACGCTTCGTTACTTTCTTACCCAGTAGTTCGGATGCAATTTTCGAAAATTCGAATTGCAAGGTATCTTCACGTTGATTCCAATGAATCCCTAAAACTTTACATGAGGAATCAATATCCTTTCCCTCATTCAAGATGGTTTTCGCATACGAATTGTCGCATTCTTTTGTCTTAAAATTCAACTCCTGAATAGCCTCAGATTCAATAACCTTCGCGACTTCGGGTTCATTAGTTTTCCATTTGCGTAAATGAAAACCTCCTTCAGCCATCCTGTTCTTAACCTTATAATACAATTCCAGCCCTGCTGTTACATTCTTAGCTCCTGATGCTAGGTCATCTACGTAAAATTCATTTCTTACATGTGATACAAATTGCGGATCGACCTCTGTATATTTGTCAATATGATGACGTAAAACAGCATTGAGTAAAAATGGAGATGAATTTACTCCAAAAACTACTCTATTAAAACGATACGTCTCAATAGATGGCGACTGGGAATTTATGTCATTAACCCACAAAAAACGTAAACAATTCCTGTCTTCAGGATGCACTTCTATGTTTAAAAAGGCTTTCTCAATATCGGCGACTAAGGCGACTTGGTGATGTCTCCAAGAGACAAGAAGATCAAAAGGCAACGGATTCAAGGACGGGCCTACGTGTAAACAATCATTCAAAGAAGTACCATTGTGTTTTTCTCTACACGATGCATCGTAAACAATACGCAATTTGGTGGTCTCTGCCTCCTCCCTTATAACAGCATGATGTGGTAAATAATGAACATTGCTAGAATTATCTAAACCTACAACCTTCTCTATAATCCCCCTCTCAAGCTGGTCCTTAATAATATTGTCATACTCTTGCAATACTTCAGGGCTTTTCTTGAGTTTAGATAATTGCCCCTTTAATCTCGCTACACTGACACCGTAATTAGTTGGAAGGGGTTTATGGGCTTCCTTCCATGGCAATTTAGTCGAGTAACGCTCGCCTGTAAATTCGATATTATCCACAATATCTTCATGAACATCAGTTGTAGGCCGTACTCCGACAGAATCTAAATCCCATAGTTTGTGGATCTGATCCTGTAAACTGGCCTTATCATTAAACACATTAGTTTCCTTATCCGATACAAAATTGATATTGACATTGCTGACAGAAGTAACATCAACGATCTCACCTTTAACTGGTCCTGAAAGAACCCAACCCAACTTTGTTCGTACGGCGACCGGCTCGTTCACACCTCCTTTTCTCGTTTCGTCCTCCATAAACCGCCACATGTAATCTGCACCGATCAGAATTTGTATGCTTAGTTGCTCTTCTTTCGAATCAACGTCTGAAAACCAAATGTCCTTCAGATGAGCAAAATCCTTCTTTACGATCTCTAAATGTTGGTTTTCCAGCTGTGAGATGGAATCTACAACACAAGCTTCAAATGGGATGTTATACTTCTTATCTACAGACGACAAAGTGATTTGAACAATGTCCTTTGCAGAAACATCTACATTAGTCTCACCAAATCTACATATACGCAAATTCTCCTTACGAGAAGGAAAAATGCCTGCTTTGTTCACAACATTGGAGGTAACAAAGGACCTGTGACTTCCCCCATCAAAAAGTACTCGCACTTTCACTTTCCTCGTTCCATTAACATAACCTTGCGCGGTTTGGAGAGCTACCCTCCCCCCACATTCAACACTCTCTACGCAAGTATTCGTGTTTGCCTTTCCGACATCCTTACACGCAGTAGAATTAGCATTACCTTGTTCACATAAGGCACTATGGTGTCTACCCTTACAAATATTGCATGAAATATTGTTTCTACATTTGAAGGATAAATGACCCTTTGCTAAACAAAGAAAGCAACGACCATATTTTTTCACAATATTTTTACGTTCACTAAAGTCCTTTACATTCTGACAATCAATTTCTTCATGAAATTTTAAACAAAAGGCGCATCGATGGTCCTTTGCAACGCTGTGCAAGGCACTCGATGTTCTCACCCAATCTTTGCCTTTTCCACTAGCAATCATTGACTGCATTCCAGACGAACCAGCAAGGTTTGGCTTCAAGATTGAAACGTGCGACTCTCGTACTTCAAGCTCGTTTCTCAACACTTCCAAAAAAGACGAAATGGGTAAATCTTCAGAGCCCTTCACCGCTCGCAACATACTCAATCGAACCGCTTCTGGCAATTTGTCGAGCAGCAATGGAACGACAACACAAGAATACGTGGTCTCATCTATCATCATAGAGTGCAGCCCTCGAAAATGTGTCTCAGCCATATCGTAGAAATGTCTAAGACGATCCAAATCGCGCTCTTTATAAACAGGTTGCAAATTCATTAGCTCATTGATATGCGATCTTTTTATCACTACTGGCTTTGCGAACCTTTGTTTCAATAAATCTACTGCCGCTTCATAATTAGCTTCAGTTAAGGAAAACCCAGCAATAACCTTTTTCACAGGCTCGTCTAACAGATAGCGTAAATACGTAAATTTGTCCACTTGACATAGTTCCTCATTTTCGTGAACTGACGAGCGAAATGCGTCCCAAAACTCCTGCCAATCATACGGTTTACCGCTGAATTTTCGCATCTCCAATTTAGGTAACCTTGCCCGTACCTTTCTAGTATTCAAAGTGGCTGTAGAACTTAGACTGTCAATGGAACCACTGCGTTGTAACTTATCATCCAATCGACCTTGGATTTGTATTATAGCAGCCTGAACTTTTGATCTAAACTGTCCCGCTTCTTTGCCTTCCTTTACACAATCATCGGCTTCTCCTTCCTCACTTATTAACCCCAATATCTCGTCGTCCAATTTATCAAGCTTCTTCTGCTTTTCCTTCAGCTGTGACTGAATCATTCTTAAATCTGTTTCACTCACGTCGTTTCCATTACCGTCCTCTATGATTTGCAATGCAAATTCTCTATGCGCCAATCGAACGTTCTTTCTCCTATCTATCACCGACATATTTTCCACAAACAAAACTTACTCCAACACACTATCCGGGCGGTGCCTCCACTGTATCGTAACAGTCCGAACAAATCAACAAAGTGTGTTGTAGTAAGGCAATCAACAATCAATACAACATTTTGTATTTTATCATTTTATTAGTAAAAATATGTGGTATACATTACACGCTCATTTCCAACACACACTGACTTCATTAAACCATAAGCAATTAGTTTTTAGTTATCGGTCCCTTTAGAAAATATGATTACAAAAGATATGTGTAAATGTTCCAAGTCAATTAACCAAGCGGCAAATACAAAAGATATTACCAACAATAAATGTGTTAACGATTAAACCTATGTAGATCTATTACGAGACAAAAGAAATAGTAAGAATACTGAAAACACGACCTTGATTAATAGCACGCTGGTTAATTACGCAAGTAAACCGTGGGAAAGGCGTTTGCGCGGCAAACTCCCTGCTTTCCGCGACAGCCAACCATTGCCACGTAAAAATACCATTGCTTTTCAAAACTCATTTACAAAATGGGTTGTTTTCCCAAATTTTTAAGGGTGTTGTCAGCAAATATTTTCCAGTCCTCTTTGCCCCTCCAATCTTGCAAACCTGGTTCCTCAATAAACGCCACTGGTTGCATCCGAAATTCGACAGAACCTAAGTCATTTTGGCGACAATTCATGCATCACGGTCTGTACTAAACAAATTGCAACCGTCCAATCTCAAGGAGCTAAATCCATGTAATTTATTTTAGGTATGTTCCAATCTACACTATGTGGAGACAGTTCAGGCAAGGAAAAAATGTCGTGAGGGATTTCATCTACTGGGCATTCTTCCCTTACAATCGAGGCAAGAATGTATGTATTGGAGGTGCAAAGTTTGGCAGATGCTTCGGAGGTTGCACTGTCATGGGAAATCATGTTGGCGACTGGGAGCATGTAACTGTACGTCTGGTAAACAATAGGCCATCAAAGATGTATGTAGGTGCCCATAATTTCGGCGGTATATATAGCTGGAATGGAAGGACCTTTGCTAAAGGTGGGTTCGCTATTATATTTTCACAGGCAGTTGTATTTAGGAAACTTTGTGCTACTTTTAAACTTTGTGTGTTGAGCAGCGCAGGGCTGCAGACAGAGAGGGGGTAATCGGGGCAAGTACCCCGGAAGCCCGGCCATTCTGGCGCCTAAAATCATAAATCTGTATTGATTTTCATATTCTTGGTGGCCTTGGAGCAGGACGTTATTAGTTAAGTCCAATTTTCTGAGCATATTTTTGAACAGAAGCGCAAAAGAAACTACGGGATCAGTTCCAACTAGCGGTAACTGGAGTGAATTCTCCAGGGTCTGAGAGTTTTGTGGCTTTATGTGCAGTGGCGTAACGTAGTTTGAGGCATTTTCAGTTCCATGACTAAGGGTCACCGACCAAAAGGGGCCCGAAGTTTTTTTACATCTATGTTCAGAAATACCCCTTATGGCGTCAATCGAAACATTCTCAATTTGACTCTACAATTCATCCGCAATACTAGTCGGTTTGAATAGGGCAGTTTCAATCTAAAATGTAAACCACGTAACTATCTTTTATCTGTAACGTATTTTTATTTCCTATTCTTATATTTATGTGTATATATATGTTAATGCTCTTGGGGTATATGTTAATACCTTTTGCTCCCCAGGGGTTTTCGTCCCAGTAGTACTGTAAAGTAGTTCTTGTTAGTAGTGCAGACAGTGATATGTATTGTAACTTTTTGTTGGATTATATCTAAAAAAATTCAAAAATTTGCACAAGTTCATATCATATTCAAGAACATTCTTCAAATGAAGGTTATGTATCTTAGCTTTCCCTAGTGGTCGAGCGAAAAATTATCATGTTCAAATCATGCCAGTGTGTTTTACATACTATCAAGATGCAGGATTGCATTTTTTCCAGTTCATAAATCGGGCCCCGTCTCAGTTTTTTCTGAGGCGTAAATGCCTCTGTTACGTCCCTGCGTAAAGAGTGTAATAACACGTACCTGATATCTAGGTTTTTCACTGGTGTTCAATAGAGTTCTCAAGTGTGACGTCACAAAAAACTATTTTTAAAATTTTCGAATTTTGACCACATAATATAAAAGAACACCATGGAATACTCCCATATATGAAGAATCAGTTCAATTTGTCAAAAAACGGGTGAGCTATGGCCAACAGAGGATTTGAAGTTTGCCAACGGATTAGTGTTATTTTGGCCTGGTTCATAAAGTTATGAACTGAGACCAAATTACAGGGGTTTGATGGGGCGAGAGCTTGTGCTCATCTTGGTATATCTCAGCCAATTCGCAGATTTAAATGATTTTGCAGATTTACAGGTCTGGTTCATGATGCTCTTTCAGGTCATAAGAAAAAATTTCAAAAATTCTAAAACTAGGTTTTTTGCGACGTCATCACTTGACAACTCTACAGTTTTGAATTTCTAAAAGTGTGGCAATCTTTTCTCGGCTTACATAAGTTTAAAAAATGTGAAAGTGTTTGCAAAAATCAAGTGTTTGTTGAACTATTAAAAAACGTGAGGCAAATACCAAATTGCTTTCAGATGATCTTGAAATAAATCTGCAGCTTACAATGCTATTTTTATGTTCCATCCAGGTAACGATAAGTTGACATTTTCAAGAGATGGACACCCTATTGTCTATTCTGCGGTTGGTTCTCACGGTATGTGGACACGACGTGGAAGGATCACATACAAAACAATCAAAAACGGAGAAAAACTACAAGATCTGGTATCAACCGGAACAGCTTGGGATACATGGAGAAAGATGGTTATGATCCCCTATTCAAAGCACAGGCATTACAGAGGAAATCTGAAGTGGATGAACTTCAAAGGAAGATGGGGCGACCCAAAAAGAGGTTGTGTTTTACTGGAAAAGATTTCTGGAGAATGCAGGCTTAATAGTGGACCGACTGGACCGGCCGCGAAGTCTGTCATGACAAGCACCGTATTGAACTAAACTTTTTTTTTATTTCTGGAAAGACATTCTTGGGATGAAATTAAAATGAGCCCAGACTCTTAAGCTAATTTCATTTCATTTTGTTACTAATCAGTAATTTTTATTGCTGCACTTTATTCACTAGAAGCAAGGAATTGAAAAGGCGTATTTTTTTGTCATCTGCAAATGAGATCAGATATCAGCAGAACGCATCTGTATAATTCTACCCTGCATCACTTTCGGATCAAATTAAAGTCTACGTAATCTAGAGCACTATCCTAACCAGCTACATACAATAACCAAACAACTTTTTTTAATAGAGGGCCTTAATTTGTAGACGGCATTTGGTAGTGGTTATTTTCAGAATTTTTCGAAAGTTGGAGTAAAGCAAATAAAGTAGCTGTAAAAAATAGCCAAGTGGCATAGTTTTAACTACGGAACTGCTAGGTAGAGCGACCTACAAGCCTTTAAAGTTAAGCCATTCGAGATGCTTAAAATGCTATTGAACGACGCAAGTAGCAAAATCAGCTTTTGCCCCAAATATCGAGTTTCTACCTTTATTTTATGCCAGTGACACATTTACCCATGGGCCCGGGCCCAGGGACCCCCTAAAATTAGGGGGCCCCCTTCAAAATTTTAAAAGCCTTTAAAGGTGAACTGACACGCAAAACTATTTTTTGATATAATGCAGAAAACGATGCATGGAATCTTAATTTCAAGTTTTCGGTTAATTATTATTGTCCGTTTTGACGCAATTCCGCCCTAAATGTCATGAAATTATCGTTGAGTGTTCGACCATTGTCGGCATTTCATGTGACCCAGTGCGTGTGACGTCACAAACACCATGTTTTGATTCCTTGAATGGAAATCACGCATGGACTGGACAGTTCAGTTCACCTTGTTCAGTTACTATTCGAGGAGATATACGTAGCCTTTGGTCCAAGACTCATGAAAATTCGAGGCTAATGAAATGTACGAAGGATATGTGCTGGCTGGTACTGCGTTATATTAGGAGGGAATTTATCTTTGGAAGGAATAGGCACTTTTAGCTGCTCGAAGAAATTCTCAATTCTGAAGGCAATCATGCGGACGAATGTAAGAATCTTTTCATTTTATCATGAATCTAGCTTCTTTTTCGAATAAATTCAATATATTATTACTTCGATATACATCCATATAAATCATGAACGTTATTTTATTTTGGGTTTGCAAACTCATCGGTTCACTCGAGTTACAGGAGGGCAGCGGCCTCGGAGTTGAAAATTTTACTAAGTTGTTATCCTGCAAATAGCGAAGCGATCGTACCAGGTGCATAACCCCTGAAAATCTTTCATGTGATTGAATAACAAATATGCCGAAAATGAGCGACTTTAATTCGAAATCTTTACTGCGTATATTGAAGTTAACCAGGATCAAAGACCAGAGATTAACTTTTGGGGGGAGGGGGGAAGCCCTGATAAATAAGTCAAACAGCAGCCGTATTTAACAAAATATAAGTATTTTACTTAGGTTTCCAGAAAATAAAAAATCCTGCCAATATTTTATCGCTACCATTATTCGATATGTTGGCCCGTCACACACTGGGTCCTGCAAGACGGAGGAAGGGCCTCAAACGCGTTGAATAATACGATATTCTTGCAAATCTTGTTATGAAAGGTTTGTAAAGAAGTCATAATCTGTTTTCCAATCACATTGTCAGAATGGAGCCAAAACCTACTCAATTAATGTATCGATGCTCATCCGCAAAGTCATGAAAGTACCACCCTCCAGACTGCCGTGTTGTTCAAGTGATGTGAACATGGTGTTTGTGACGTCACGATTATGCGGAAGGCTCGGGCAAACTCGTCCGTGCTCGGGAAATGTTCGGTAGCTAACTTTGACGCTCAATAACTCGAAAACTGTGTTGAATATTAAAAAAATAATAATGTACCAGGTATTTTTGCTCGATATGCTTTCATTTGAGGTCAAGTTAATTTTGCGTGTCAGTTCACCTTTAAAGTGCTCTTGATTTCAATCTTGTGTTTGAATAGAGCTAGGGGGCCTCGTAAAGTAATGAACTCCATTTTAAGAATGGAATATAGGGCATGGTCACAAGAATTTTCAGCTCACTCCGCTCGCAGGGGGCCTCGTATTTTGTTTTTACACCAGGACCTTCGAAACTATCGGTGGCCCTGGCTTGAGCTTTCCCCAGTGCAATGACTGCACATAGTTTAAGGCTCAATTTGCCATACAGAGGTTTCCCTGGTGAAAAATGTTTCACTATGCTGAAAAGGGTAAATAAAAGTGTGAACTAAGGTCCACAATGTCACAGTAGCGCGTTGTTTCCTTATGTTTAATGGCAGCAGATTTTGATGTACTTGAAGTTTTAAACCACAATAAATTCATCGAAAAGTTTTCAGCAGTTGGGTGGTTTTATTGGGAATGTATTGAAATGTGAAATGGATACTAGTTTATTATTCGTGTCTTATAGTTGGTTGATTATGTTTAGCCAAGTACTGTGCACTTGACACAAATTGTTTGGTATATTTTAAGGGGCCTCAATCAGCTTTGGGCCCAGGGCCCCAACAGACGTAAATGCGGCCCTGTTTTATGCCCATAGATTATGTCAAGAGGCTTCATTTTTTAGAAACAACTTTAGCGCCCCATTCTCACACACAAAAGCCGTTTTAGCACTCATTTCTTGGACTTAAGTACGGCCTGGCTTGTTACGTCTTTGTTTAATTCAAATATGTCAGGGATCCGCAAAGGGTAGTGAAAGTGAACAAGGTGAATGCTTCAAAGGGTGTTAAAAAATATTGTGGCAAGTAGCAGGAACGGACTAGAAATAAGACCAGGGGGTGCAAGTCAGGTTATTTTTAGGGTTGGGAGCTGTCAGATCATGGCAAACCGACATACTAGTAGGCCGCAAACAATTGAATGATACTGAATAGCAATAAAGTATTGAATTTATAACAATAAAAATTTAAATTTTTAAAATTAAAAGTTTCACCATGGTTTAGGTAAGCCCATCGTCAGGAAGGAACCAAATAACGTTTCAAAATGCATTCAAAGAAACTTGTTTATAGGTGTGTGAAAGTTCTCGAACTGAACTGTCATGACGAGTTACAAATATTTTGTCTATCTTTCAACCCACCAAAAGTACAAAAAGGTTCTCTATCATAGGGGCCTGGGATCTGCTTGCTTGGCTTAATTGATTTTTCCGACTTCAGACAAGTCTTATTTTCCACGAAGAAAGTACAATTTTAAATGCATTTGATAACAAGAAAATTGTTGAAACATACTGCACTCAATGATCAAACTAAAATAATGTTTTAAGGGTGTTCTTCAAAAAGGGAAAATCGGTTAATGACTAGTAAATATTTTAAACTGACTACAATGTTTTCAAACTTGCGCTTTGTTTTCATGTTTTTCAATTCTTTTCCGGAATACTTGTACTTCCGCACCCCTTTCCCCCTAGAGAAATGTTGATAGTTTGGTTAAGTATCGTATAAGTAGTGTTATAACACTGTATAACAGATGAAAAGGAAATAACTAAGGAAATAAATACAGACATACATAAGCTAAATTTTTGAAGCAACTTGGATATGAATGGACAAAGTTTACAGGATATCGATATCATTATATTTGCAAACGTTGCATTTACAGCTAGGACCATCCCATCGTTCGTTTGAAGCTGTTAAGATTGTCAACTGATTTTAGTTCATTTGGCAAACAGTTCCAGATCTGAGGTCCTATGGCTTTAGGCTCTTGGAACCGAAAGTTACTTGGTTCGGTCGAAAATGATTGAAGTTTTTAGGATTCCGAGAAGGATGGTTTAAAGTTCTTGAACTAAAAATGCTATGCATAAAAGGTGGATTCAAATTTCTAATTGTCTTGAATTTTTCGATACAGAGGGTTCTCTCACGAGCAACTTGTATTGTACACTTTTTTGACCTAGTGAGAAGATCGTCATAGGAAATTTTTATGATCATTGTACAAAAATCTTAGCGCGCGTTCCTGTATCCTTTCAATTTTCTGAAGTGATTTTGAAGCAAAAAATACCAAACTAAAGGACAATAGTTAAAATTCGAGTACACGAAAATTTGAACCAAAACCTCTTTTTCAGCAAAAGCATTGAATGACTTGAGTCGCTTGAGAACGTTCGAAAGTAACATCGTTGAAAGAAAAAGATTGAAAAGTTTGCTCAGGATCTTGAACTATAGCTAGAATGCTCGGATTTAACCTAGGAACAGTTGATTTCATATTTGTAGCAACAAGACTATGATAGTCGCTTAGACCTGTTTCGAAAACAGAGGTTTCCTCGTAGGACCTTGGTCGATTTGTCAAAATAACATCAATTGATGAGCTGTGATTCTTAGTGAAGCAAGTTTTCGACGTCACTAAATTGGATGGACCGAACACAACACAAAAAGAAGCTAATTTGACGGAACCGGGATCGGTTTCATTTTGAGTATCAATATTGATATCGCCCATTACAATTATGTTGTCGTACCGATCCAGTGCACGATTCAAAGACGTGGACAGATCTGAGAAAAATGTTTCTAAATCAGCATTTGGTGGGCGGTAAAATAAGGCAACGGTGCATAGTCATTTTAGAACTATAAGTCTTATCAGCCATGCAGCAAAATATTATTACATATTCTTAAGAAGGGGTCATCCATAAAGTACGTACACAGTTTAGAGCAACTTTTTGAACCCCCCTCCCCCTTTTACGCGCATGTACGCTTTTCGTATATACCCTTTTGCGTACACTACGTATGCTTATATCTTTTTTACCCCCCCCCCCCTTCTCCCGTTCCAAGGTATATTGCAAATAATTGAGAGTTTCTAGGGAAATTCAGGGATTTGTCCATATTGACCATTCCTTGTTATAATATATGTTAATGAAGTTGTCTAATTTATGTAATTATGTGAAGCACATCGAAGCAGATTCTTTAACATTGAACTTATTGTATTTAGTTTTCTAAAAGGCAAAGCCTTTTACATAGTTTTTATCGGAAGTTCATCAAACAGAGCAGATTTTAGGTAGGATGAAAATATGCAACAAACTTCCCATTGAAATCTCTGCTATATGAACAATGAATGAGCAAGCTTGCAAGGCTCAAATTTCGCGTTAAGGAAATTCTAAGCGTACGTACTAAATACCCATTACACCCCCACCCCCCTTGCACGCAAGCGTACGATTTTTGGTCGACTCCCCCCCTCCCCCTGAGTGCGTACGTACTTTATGGATGACCCCGAACAGGCTACAATGCTTGCCAAAAGTCTTGGTACGCTGACGTCAGTTTTCAAGCACAAATTCAGCCATTCCCCTTCCCCCCTTTGAACAATGTTGGTTTACTACAAAACGACATAGGGGATTAGGAAGTACGCTTTTTCTTTGAGTTCTATGATATTTTTCTAAATCATCAACATTGTTCAGGGGGGAAGGGGTGCGAAGATTCGAGAAAAGAATTGAAAAATGTAAAAACACAACGCAAATGGCTTGGTGTTCCAAGTACTTTTGACAATGATTGTAACACCAATTATAGAAACAGAGCTCAGTGAAACCCAACTTGGATTTAGGAAAAGGTAAAGGAACAAGGATGGACTTCTTCTTCGAAGAACAGTCAATGAAAGAACGAAGGAAAAATAACGTAAATTGCATCTATGTTTCGTGGATAATACCAATGGAAAAAAGCATATTATTAGAAATCATGAAAAGCGCCAAAATACCAAAGCAAGAAAAACTTTTGGTAGTCAATTTGTATTGGAAACAGCATGCCATTGTGAGAACTAATTTAGGAGAAACGGACACGATCTGGAAAAAGAGAGAAGTGAGGCAAGGATGTTTCTTATCGCCCATACTTTTTAACTTGTATAGTGAATATCTGATCCAAGAGGCATTAGAAAATAAGAAAGGCATACAAATAAATGGGGACAGTATTACAAACATTAGATATGTTGATGATACAGTGTTGATAGCTGAGACAGAAAGAGCAGGCACCGTGGAGCGTCGAGAAAAGTGTGGGGTCTAAAAAAGTGGGGGGGGGGGCTAAAACCATATAAAAAGAGCCTTTTCTGGTAGTTTGATACTTAATATTTGGCACTTTTTGCTAAAGCCTCCTAGCCCCCCCCCCTCCCTCCCTACTCCGCGGTGCCTGAGGAGAAGAGGATCTCAAATGAATGGTAGATGCCTTATGTCACACCTGTAAAGATTATGGAATGGCATTAAATGCAAAATAGACAATGTAATGTAATAATTATATCTAGAAAAGAAGAGGATTGTAGGAATAATACCAATATAAAGGCAAATGGTAAACAACTAGAAGTTGCTAAATAATACAAAGATCTTTGACAATGGACCTTCAGACCAAAGACGACACTTGATGAAGATAATGATGATGGTGATGATAATGACTACATATTCAGGGTTTCTTATTAAAGGAACATGCACTATTTTTTTCTTTTTTAATTGGCAAAAGTCTGAATTCCACAATATTATTCTGCAAAAGGGAAAATTTGCAGCATAATTTTTCACAATCAAAATATTTTTTCCTCAAAGTGAGATAGAGTAATTCTCCTATGAATGAACTTAAAACTACAAATCAGCTTTTAATTTTGGCAAATGCTGTTAACAGCATGTTTTGAGAACAAATTCTATAATCCTTGGAATGTAGCTACAATCCCGGACGAAAAAGGTTGAGACTTTTCAAGGAAAGCTAATATTTTCACTTTCCTTTCAAAAATAATTCCCCCCCCCCCCCCCTCCAATTCAATGTTGAATGCATGATTTTGAAGGAGATATGATAGAACTACAAATCCAACATTGATTTGAGGGGAAAGGGGGGATTCGAAGTTATAGGGGCGACATAAAGTAGAAAATTGGAGAAATTTGCATTTTGTCTCTACAATGTTGTCTGGGATTGTAGCAAAGGTTCTAGGATCTATCACAGAAACAGTCAGTTAAGCTATTTGAATTGTTATTAAAGCTCAATTTACAGACAATGGGAGACATAGGCAATGCCAACAAAACAAGCAAATATGCTGACAATTTATGACATAATTTACCGGCAAAATAGTGTCTTAACCAACAATTTAGCAAAATCTGGGGGCACTTTCCCAACACCCACCCACCCAATTTCAGACACTGATGTCTGAAATGTTGATGATGATGGGGGTGTAGGGGATTTTAAACTCACAGAAAGCTATTAAAAATGTTGGTCTGAAGGAATATTATAACACAGGAGGGTGGCTACTGATTTGCCTGTTACAGAATTGCTGCATAGGTCACTGTGCGTCAACTGCACAACAAGCAAAATATTATGATTTAACAAAGTACTTGGGGCCTGGGTTCAAAGGATTTGTTACATCATGATTTATCAAATAAAAAGTAAAAATATTCTTAGAAGGAACAAGAGTAGGAATTTTTATGATTTAAATCAGCATAGCTGTCTGAAAATGTAAAGATTCAAAACTTTGCCATTAAAAATTTGTTATTGTGTTAAATTATTTCTTCTATTTCTTATGTTATATATAGATTTATGACACATATAGCTTCAAGAAAATCTTCAAGAAATAGTCCAAAAAACGTTTTTTGTTACAAATTAAATTTCATTTTTATGGGCCAAGACTGCTCTATTACACCACTATCTCAATCTCCATACAACATTTATTTGCAATAGAACAAAACTTAAGAAATAATTGATTTACCAATGAAAAAATTTGTTGTGCAGCAATCAGAGACCTGAAATTAATTCTTTAACAGTGCTATTAGTGTCTAATGAAGCTTTTTTGATGATTTCTTGTGTTGCTGAGTGTTGATTGCATGGCCAACAAAAAGAAACGTCAATCCGAGCATGTACGCAGTTCCTAGAAATAAAATTCTTCCGGACCAACCAAGAACCTTGAGAACAGGGTAAACCCAAATATCAGCTCTGTAAGCAATCCACAATATCCAAATGACATACCCAATACAAAATAGCGTGAAACCAAAAGAAGCTTTTATTCTTGAAGGGAAATCTTTGTGCCTGACCAAAAATATCTGGATAAATGACAATATGAACGGCGCTGTATGCGCACAATGGTTGTATAATCCATGAACTGGGATCATGTGTCTCAAGCGGCTAGGCAACATGAGTTCTGAGTTCACAACCATTACACCCCAGAATGCGATAGTCACGATCGCACTTAAGGGGAAAATAAGTGAACCGAAAATAGTATCTCGCCATTTCTTCAACACAGTGCGGTTGTTTCCTACTTCCGGGTTATGGAACAGAACGCTCCACAGCTCTGAAACAAATGCTAGGCCATAGTAAAGAACCGAAATAACCAAGTTGATGAATGTCAAAAACTTGAATCTACCTCCGTAAGAATTGGTTACACCATTTATAAAGATATTTGCAACGTTGTGGTACAAAGTTGCTGTAAATATGGCAAAACAACAAATGTGGATGAAACGCTGTGTTGAAGCCATCTTTCCGATTTGCTACTCAATCTGATCAAAGTCCGAGAACTCAGACGATTTCGTTGAACCTGAACGAGGCGGAAGTAGGATTGCCAACCACTGATTGATCAGTGGTTTCCACGATCGATGATTGGAAACATCAAACGAGTGAGTCTCACACAAGGCGCAGGGCAGCATTAGGTCAAGAAATAAGGTTGCACAATACAAGTGAAAGGAAGCTAGAGTTCATGAATGTAACACATATTTTTGATAAAATCGCAGCAGTTTGTGTTATATATTTCTCATTCCCACTTGCTACCTATAGAGAGCCCTTGCATTGAAATCTTATGAAGCCCCAATAATACTCTGTGAATATCACCGTTTTTAAATGCAGAATTTATCTTGAATTCAGCACATTCATCAAAATTGACGCTTATGCAATAATGCCAGAAAAGTATTGTCAAAAATACATCATGTATCGCTAACGTTGTATCAAAAGAAGTCAAGCAATTGACGTTCATTTACCTTTGATAAGCACAGTCAGTGCTTTAATGTGGTTGAAAAAAATGAAAAAAAACTTAAGCTGAATCTGTCTGCAAAGACGCTTGCATATGATGTCACAATAGACCAAATCCGAAAGGCCCTAAATGCTGTTTATATATATTTAATCATAACTCGTCACATTAACTAAAGTACATAATCTAACAAATATAACTTTAGCCTTGTGTGTGATAAAGCTTGATTCTAAAAGCCTGGCTTCTACATCTTACCTTCATTTTAGCAGCAGCAGAAATTTCCATCTTTCGTTTCTCGTTCCAGCAGTGGCTTGATTGCGGTTCATTTTTGACTTGGTTTATCTCTTTTGGTGTATCTTTTCGTCTGCAAGACTTTTGGCTCTTTTCTGCAAGACATGAAAATATAACGATCTTGCATCACGCCCTACATTTTTTCAAAAATAAAATATTTAAGCAAAGCTGGAAATTCCCCTTAAGTTCTAACGTGAAAACTATACAACAAAAATGCAATTCATATAAGAAAGTTTAAAAACTGATAGTGCATAAACAGGTAAAATATATATGGAGCTTAAAAAACTAAGATAATTTAAAATTACCCTTTAAGTCTAGTAATATCAATTACCAGGAATACATTTTCACGTTCTACTAGAAAAGAAAGCGAACATTTTTGCTTGGCATGAGAGCTTTCTTGCTTTGGGGTGATTTTATTGGACTATTTTCCAGCCTTGCGTTAAATTTTCTAAAGTCAAATTATCGTTACATTTTATAAATATTTCTTATAAATATTATTATTTATCGTGGCCCATCATGTCAGGAAAGCATCGATGCATGACAATTAGAAATAATCTTACCACCGAAAACCAAGTTGCTGAAAAAATTGTAAAAGGAAAACGACAACAAGCATCTCCAATGTTCTGATACATTTTCCCATTTTGGCAATTACAATAAAGGAAAAGGTTTCATCATTCTTTTCGGCATTAAGTTAGCAATAAACGAATCATAATGCCAAATCAAATAACAATTTTCCTTAATAGACTCTAATGGCCGTAGATTTCAATATCTATCTTGGTTCAATACCCATTAAGGTTAGGTTTTAAAGCAATTCTAAGAATATTGTGGCTTGAAAAATTATTTTATCCTTGTAAAAAAGTTTGTAGATGCATGTCCTGGCAGGAAGGATAAGGGACACTTGGAAAAAGAAATTTTCAGACAACGAATGTACAATGCCTGCTAAAAGTCTTGGTAAACTAACACCAGTTTTTAAAGTGAAATTCTGTCATTACTCTCCCCCCTTTGAAAAATATTGGTTTACTACAAAACGTTTTTTCCTGAGACTTGTATGGTATTTGTGTTAACTAGCACCCACTCTTGGGGAAGGGGGAGCTGAAGTAAAGTATTTGGGAAATAAATTGAAAATTTTAGAAACAGTAGTGTTACAAGTAATTTTGACAGCATTGTAGTTAAAATTGTCTTCAAAACTTCATCCAAATTTAACTTAAAAAAACTTTCATGCACCCAATGGGAAAAAACTGGCAAAGCATGTTGCAAAATTGTCACCAGCGGGTAGAATGATTAAAGCCAATCGTTCTGCTGAAACTTTCGAATTTTTGGTGACAAAAGGCCAAACTTTTGCACAGGCAAATTCGAAACTCTTTATCAAAATTGTTTGTCTGGAAACGAGAGGAAGTGGGATATGCACGTTTCAATGTCAAATATCCTTGTACATGGCTATGAGTTTTGTAAATATGGACTTACCCACGTCATTTGATTTTTGATTCTTGTCTCCACGAAAGAAATCATGCAGTTTTTTACCTTGAAGCACACGTGGTTTCTGCAGCACACGTGGTCTCTGAACTTCATCCATGAATCACAAACAACAGAGATTCAAAATAAATTTGAGGTAAGAAAATACACTGCAGTTTGTACTAAAGCATGTCTCTAGCTGAAACCAACTATGGAAAGAACCAAGAAGGAATACTTCCCAAAATTGAAGACCAATTTTGGGAGTTTTGTCTCTCATTTCGAAAACATTCAGACAACGTGTAGTTCCCTGCGTTTGCACTGAAACAGTTTTAAGAAAACGCACGTTCACAAGTTGCGATTTACTAAGAAGCAGACTTTGAATGGTTCAATAAATTTGACACCTGAATACAAACAAAACTTCGTGAAAATGCTATTCTGCATTTTCCCTGTAGAGCACGGGTACAGAAACTTGAGATTGCTTCGAGGTTCGCTGTCAGCCTTAAAGAACAAAGGTCCCACGTGCTAATGCCACTGGATGGTGAACATTCTTAAAAGCATGCAGAATAACTGGATAGGCAAAAGAAGCCATGAACCTCGTTCAATCAATCTCATTTCTCTAACTAAACAACAGTGTATATTAGCACGAGTTTCTAACTGTGTTATTGAATGATCTGGACGTCTGCACATACAATCTTATAAGAATTTGAGCCTCATAATTGCATGTAAACAAAAACAAAACTAAGATTGAATGGAGGAAAAAAGGAACATTTTAAGAGCATTTTGACAACATTGCTCGGACTTATCTTTCACGGCAGGATGTCTATATATTTAGCCAAGATAAAGATCAAGATTACCTTCATTATACACACAAAATGTGCATTTAAATGTTTTCCCGTGTCGAGACATCTTTGACTTACATCCTATTGAATTAAGAGCAATTAGGATCAATCCAGCCTAACAACTTTTGGGAAAATCAATATCATCCGGCCTGAACCTCTGTTTACTTGTATTTTGCTAACAGAAGAGGATCCGTTTCTATAATTTTCTATACTCGTTACAGAATAAGCGACTACCAGTTAGTGAGCTAAGTGGAAAGCTCAGAGAAACTAGGCTTAGATGGCTAAGGCACGTAACCAGAAGAGAGGATACTTGCGTAGGGAGAAGAGCGAGTAGGGCCTCTGACGAAGGGGTTGGGGGGATTTCTTAAGCCATGGTCTCCCAATTTTTTGCAAAATAATATAGCTCTTTTCAAAGTCTTTTGTAAAGGCTGCAGTAAACTATCATCTTCAGGTACAATTTGCTTCACATTTCTTCTGTGATGACAAACAATGAGAGAATGTGATAGTGTAAAGCGCGTTAAAATTTGCTTGTAGAGATGAAAACACAACAAAAGTGCACCAAAAGGGAATTTGTCGCCCCTTTGAAAAACCTGAAGGGAGAGCTGAACAATTTGATCAGCGACCAAACTGAAATTCCGCAAGAAGGAATGAGAAAGGTCTCCAACGAGCAACTACGAGCAACTACAAGCAAATTTTAACGCGCTTTACACTATCACATTCTCTCATTGTTTGTTTTCACGTAGTTCTATAGAATTCTACTGGACATATACTGTTCGGATCTTATTTATAAATCAGCAAAAGCAATATAATATAGGCTTGCTTTCTCTTTGCTGTTTGCTTGAACACCACTAGAGGAGCGGGGCTTTGAAAGTAGCAAAAGAGTCCTAGATACCTTACACAACAGAAGTAAGTAGTAGAAATGGTCTAATTTTTGCATAAACCAGCACCCTAGCACCGTTAGAGCGACATATCATAGACGGATTTAAAATTGTTCTGCTAAAAAGTTGTTCGCGCAGTTCACGATCGGAGGCACGTGTCGAATTTGTACAAAACACTGCTGTTAGGGAACAGGTGAAAACAAACGGAACAAGAGATAATCATGACAACTACTTTCTCTCAATAACATCTTAAATCTTGCTACTGTTTCGCAATAAATTTGAAAACACGCTGTCCTACTTCTGCATAATCAGTTGTTGATGTCGCAAGAAGTTTCAAAATGCGTCTTGTTCTCTCTTATTTGGCACTGATTAGCTGAGAAATGGCCGCACAAGCCCCATCAGATCACTGTATTTAGTCTCCTTCATTTGCAAAATTTTACCAAACATCAAATATAAGTATCTGATTTTGTAATTTCATGGTTTTCTTGAAAGTTATATGATCAAAGGCTAATGACGTCTCACTTAAGTCATAATAATTACTTAAATCACAATATTTCTTATCACCCCAGACCCGGTAGTGATTGAGTATTCCTTGTGACAATTAAACTGGTTACAAGCAAACTTAGTGAATCAAGTGTAATCCGTGAAATCTGGATTTGATGCTCCCACTGTCTCAGTTAATGGACTCTTTGAAGACCCAACAGTTGAAGATGACAGCAAGCCTTGGTTCTCTGTTGCCGCCTTTGAGCGAATTCTCTTGATCTGCCTTAATCGTTCCAACCAATTGCAGCCATATGCGTCGCTCGGTTTGTTCTTATTGCGATGAAGAACAGTGGCCATCTGCAAGGGGAAAAAGCAAATTTAACAGAAGTTGTGAAAAGCAAAATTCATTGATTTGTGGCTTCTTCTGTTAAACGTACCAAAGTCGTTCACGAATTGCAGATGCCTGTTTCAAACTGACTTCGATATAACAGAGGGGGTCTAGAAAACGAGAAAACTGAAAAACTTTTTTCCTTATCAGTGCTTCAAGCGTGGCTTGGGTTAAACTTGCAACTAAACTTACATTAGTTACATTAAAAAAGAACAATGAAAAAAGCAAACCGTTTGAGGACGTTTGAAGATATGAGGTTCATTAAGGATAAAAAACAATTCTTTAAAGCTGTCCAGTTTTTTAAATGAGAAAAATATAAAGCCCAACAAAATTAAACTGGTAGAAACGATACCACTCTGTCTGACAATAAAATAGTATCACAAACGTTGAATAATCAGTTTGTATATATTACTGAAAGCGTCAATAAGGGGGGGGGCTACAGCCCCTCCTTAGTAAGCATCTAGCCCCCTCCATCGGAGGAAATTTTAGGTAATTGTCGGAGAAAATTTGACAAAATAGCGTAAGAAAACTGCATATTTTAGTCATTTTAGCCCCCCCCCCTGTCGGAAGCTCCAACCCCTCTGTCGGAAGATTTTTGGTGCCACCTCTGATGTTACCTGACTTTAATTTGATAATAGGCAAACAACATCTGATGAAAGTACAGCCTCGTCACTATTAGATCAATTGAAATGCCTTTATAGCCATCGTTGTATTATAATAATCAAGGAAACTTTGCATCATTTTCCTAAGTTTAACATTGAAAACGTAACTTCCTGAGATGTAAGAAAAATGGGTTACAACCTAGAGGAAGGCAAGTCAACATCAGCCGATAATATGTCCTTAGAATGGCGATCGACGTTGAATGTGAACCATAAGCTACAATTTAATCGCCCTCATTTAAAAAATACATATCCCTTTCCTATGAAAATGCTAATGTTTGTCTTATTTTCAAAAAAGAGATTCAGCTAGTGAAAAGAATTATAGACCAATACGTGTGCTTCCCTCGTATTTGAGAGAATAATTTTTAATGAAATCTTCAATTTCATCAGTGTTAAACTGTTCTCTTTACTTTGTGAGTTCAGAAAAGGTTAGAGCACACATCACACCCTATTACGACTTATGGAAGATCTTCAAAAAAGGTTGGATAAAAATATGCTGCTAATGCAGTGCTTATGAACATATCAAAAGGATTTGATTGCTTACCTAGTATATTTCTACTAGTGATTTGATGGAGATAAAGCAGGGAGTTCCTCAAAGATCAATCTTAGGCCCGTTGCTTTTCAACTTGGAATTTAGTATCCCAAGGGCTTCCAAGCGGAACAAGAAAATGAAGAGGCCGGGTCCTTTGCTAGATAGAGCAGCCGATCACACTTCAAATTGCGTGGTGTGTCGCGTGACTTATCAAGACCGAATAATGAGATTTTCCACCATTTCATGAAATTAACAAGGAGCAATTGATAAGGAGTTGAAGTGATCTTGCGTAACACTTCGCAACTCATCTACAAAAGAGCGCATGGTTACTGATTTCTTTCTTTAATCGACTCAAATATTTGCACCAATTCTTCAAGAACTCTATATTTTGTTGCGATAATAAGCTACAATGACGCAAAAAAATACTGCAGCCTTCTTGAACGCATGTCTTTCATAACAAACTTATAAATGCTTCAATCAGCATATCAGATCTTATAAAATAAAAACCTTAACAAAATATATTAGCAAATAATATCAGTATCTTAATGTGTGTGAAGTCGGCACAGATATTATATGAAAGTAGCAAACGGATTAAAACCACAGCACTGTCATCTTGCAGGCTGCATTTCTCTGACTGAGCACATTGGCGTTTAAGAGACTATTTCAGCTTGGCAAATTAAAAGGTTTTATTCTACAATCGGAAAGATCTGTCGTAATGAGGCGACACCATAGCGTAATCATTATAATATACCTACTAGATGCAAAGCCAATGAAAGTTCTATTCACTTTTGCAGCAAAGAGCGGTAAGACTATAGAAAGGCAACTTATTCTTTGCATGGATTTATGCAAGGGGAATTTCAAGAAAAAAGATTGGCTTAAAAGTCACTGAGCAGCTTAACTTCACCGAACGCTTACCAAATGTACCACGAAAGAAAAAAGGACCAATTCAGCTTAAGTAAATTTTGTAAATTTGTGCTATCCATTACGCCACGGTAGCGTCACAATTATCAGAGAAATATATGATAGCATTGGCATTGGCAAATATCTTCTAATGTTAAAGGTAAAAAGGTTGAAAAGGTCGAAAATTATGTTAAAAAAATACTTTCAAGGGACAAAACTTTAGCACCTCTTATTTTTGAAACCAAAACAACCAATACAATCGAGTCACATGTTTGGGAAGACAATACGATAGAATACAACCAATAGCAGCGCTAGCCATTAGGCTCTAGGGTGGAGGGGGGTGGGGCAAAAAATTTCGGCCACGCCTATTTTTACATAAGAAAACGCCCTTTTACAAACATAGAACGCCAATTTTACCTGAAAGGCAGGCCCACGAATACCTTTTGGCTACGTAAAGGCAGTTTGAAAATCATAGCAATACATCACAAAAAGTACGTATCCAAATTATTACCCCTCCCCAACATCTTCTCATCAAATTTAGACGAAATAAAAATTGATCCTGCCGAGAACTGGGGAAAGAAGGGACACGACTCCCCACCCATTATTGTTTAGGACAAAATACAGGCAAATCTTTCCACACGTTTCAAACGAATTGTCATTCACTTCGCAAAAAACGAAAACGATCTTGGTTAGCTATTGCCTATGTAGGCCTGTTAAAAAGAAGGCATCATTTCTTATCAGAATCCAAAAATCGAGGAAAAAATTAAAATTAACACGAAGCTGCACGCTAAGATTTTTTGACACCGGGTAGCAGAATACTTTATTTTTGTCTGTAATTACAATTTTGTGAAAAGCAATAAAAAAACTCTGCTTTTACATAAGGCAAAATGTTACACAGAAAATACAATATAAGGTGAAATGAAGCATAGTAAGAGAAATCTTTAAAGTGCATATGACACGAAAATTTTTATTCGCTTAAATCATCAAAGAAACATCGCTGGTAACGATGGTGAACTTAGTTTTTTCATTTGCGACTTACTTTCCCCCAAAAACGGGGTTTTCCGACACCCACTCGAGCTAAAATGTGTCACAAGAAAAACGCGGTCGAACCTGTGGTCACTTGACCCCTGTGACGTAAAGTGGTTGTGTATCTGTTGAATAGAATAAGGCTTCTGTATGGTTTCACTATGTGCGGAACCTACTGTTGTCCCCCTAAAGATTTTTTTCCTCCATAATTGTAATAAGTTTTATTTAGATAACTCAAGCAATGCCATCAAAGGTCGGAAAGTAATTAAGAAAACTTTTTTGGTTCATTATAAAATTGATAAAAATTGAAATAAAGTGTTGTGCATGACTTTATGGAACGAATACCCCCTTGAGGAAGATACCGTTGTGCTTGACTACCATCCTGGAAAACCTGCCCCAACAGAAGTTCGCCGCTTGGCATTACTTATTAAAAATGCAGCGTAAAGATATCGAGCCATCACTGATTTTTCCCGTACATTTCCCTCTCCTCCTGGTTTTGACACCGAAAATACCAAAACATTTTTTCGACGTGATGCTCTACCCTCAGTCCGCAAACCAAAACAAGACAAAGAACGAAGCAAGAATGAAAAAAGCATGGTGAGTAATAAGTTTCCTATTGTTTTTTTATAACTGCCTAACAACGTTCTATTGTGTAACAGCTGAGATACGTTATTGGTAATGACTCGACAACACCGGGGGCACTCGCTTTATGGAAAAAAGGGACTCCTTGTCTCTCTGTGTGGGGTCCATATTACCGTTTTTAATACATAAAAATAACCCAAATATTAAATTTTGCAGCTATTTTTTTAAACCATTTAAACAAATGTAAACTACTTCAATATTTTATACAAAAGCGAAAAAGGTTTTGGAAACTAAAAAAGCAGTGGGTTGGCAACTCAAGAAATATTTAAGAAGCAGGGAAATGATATTCTATGGGATAAAGATTCAAAATGCAAGCGAGAATCGATTAACAATAAACAGAAGTCACCAAGTAACAAAACATGATATAAAAACTTTCAATTAAATCACGGACTCAGTCGTTTCTGTATAACAGAAATAGTGGTCTTTGAGCTGGTCAGCCTTGGTCAAAGACCAAAAAATTAATCTTGGATCATGTTTGTTGCTAAATGTAAACATTGAAATTTGTGTTCCTCGTTCTTCACAGGCAGCGTTAACGGAAGCTCTGCACAGATGGAGTTGCTTTGGCATCAACAAGGTTTTGAATCTCTCAGAAGTTCTGGAATTGAAGTATCTACGTTTGTCTCTGACAGACACCAAGACTGTATGCCATTGCACAGAGATACCTATTGAACAAAAACATTGTATGACTTAATATAATGGTTGATTTGAGTTTCTCTTACACTCTTTAGAATCGGCAGGATCATAACATTACATATATATATTATATGTATATGGTATACTCTTTTCTGCCAGATTCAATGAAAATAAATATTAAATTTACTAAACCTAAGAATTGAAGGTGCCAAACAGAATATGTATTTCTAGACAGTATAACTTATACAGTATAACAACTAGACAGTATTTGTATAACTTATTCTTCATTCGCCCATACAACGCAATAGCCCAGGCCGCTATGATCAGGGAATGGTGGCCTAAAAACAGCAGAGATGTACAGGGAATACTGAATTTATAACACTAAAAAACACAATGACAACTTATTTCACTCACCATTGACTCAAAGTAATAATTCCTCGCCATCGATCACGCTGTTGGGATTTTTGTATTCCATCTTCGTCCTCTGCCCGGTCATGAAAGCTTCGAGCTATGCCAGCTTCGCCTGGTTCCGCGTCTGAATTATCCGCAGAAAAAAGACTGGTTCGTTCTTGCAAGGCGAAAATAGCCCATCAGCAGCACCTAAAAGCTATTCCCCTTCACTTTCGTCAAAAGCTGACGCCCTCGAGCTTGAATATTTGCCGTGAGACATGTTCATAAACTCGCAAGTAAAACTCCGCCGTATAACTTCTTGTTAGTTAGCAATCTAAATTTTCGCTAACACAACCACTTTACGTCACTTCCTGTCAAACTCGACCCAATCCCTTGTGACAGAATTTGAAGCAAAAATCGACCTTGAAACAGCTGTAATTACGAAAGTGTTTGTTTTTCGAAAATTTTATGGTGATTTTCGTGATCAGCATACTCGATTACGTGATGGGGGCGAATAAAAATTTTCGTGTCATATGCACTTTAAATCCAGGATAAAGCAGATCGATATATGCTAAGATTCATCAAATTTATTCACTTGGGCATGAATGGGACTGACAAACTGGTTCAATCGCTGTCAAAGTTTCTGATGCAAACTCAGCAACATTCTAATACAAACATATAGAGAACTGGCATTTTGACAAATGAAAAGCTATGTCCTTTCTAAACTTCCTAAAAGTTACTCATACCAGGGAAAATATTAACAGCAAAGCATGGAATAGTCACATCTCATATTGCGTCCATACCGTGAGTTTGTTAGAAGATCTGACTTTATCACAAATAAATTTATCTTGTTATATAATTATGTTATAGATGGATCAAACTAGTTATAGAGAGAATTATGTTTAAGCGTAGTTACGAAGGATCAAATGCGTTGTTTCTCCTAAATGCATGGATGCGTTGTTTCTCATAAACAAATAAAAGACCACTCAGTGACATCACTCAATGCCCATTTGGCATCAGTGCATTCATTACCCCGGGTACCAGAGTCTAAGAAAATCACCGGAAGTGAGACAAAGGGAGGGCTCGCCAGTTTTTTTCTCTTTCAAAATTCCTCATATCATTTATCATATATCATATATCATATATCATATATCATATATCATATATCATATATCATATATCATATATCATATATCATATATCATATATCATATATCATATATCATATATCATATATCATATATCATAATATCAGATCATATCATATCATATCATATCATATCATATCATATCATATCATATCATATCATATCATATCATATCATATCATATCATATCTTATCATATCAAATCATATCATATCATATCATATCATATCATATCATATCATATCATATCATATCATATCATATCATATCATATCATATCATATCATATCATATCATCAATCATATCATATCATATCATATCATATCATATCATATCATATCATATCATATCATATCATATCATATCATATCATATCATATCATATCATATCATATCATATCATATCATATCATATCATATCATATCATATCATATCATATCATATCATATCATATCATATCATATCATATCATATCATATCATATCATATCATATCATATCATATCATATCATATCATATCATATCATATCATATCATATCATATCATATCATATCATATCATATCATATCATATCATATCATATCATATCATATCATATCATATCATATCATATCATATCATATCATATATTATTAAGGAATGCTTTAACTGTTATGGAATTACTCACATTGGTGTGGATTGCCAGCTGCCGAACCAGGATCGGTAGATTATCATCCGAAATGACGTGTGGTCCTGTGTTTGTGGCTACATCCTTCAAATCCTCTTTCATTCTCACAGTTACAAGATTGCTATTATAATCTAGCGGCTTGATTAAAACTTCAGCAAAATTGAACTGTCCCTGGAAAATGAGATTTTAGAGATTCAAAATGCGTTTTTGAAGTCTTTATATCATAGGGTTGAGAAGAGCCACTTCATGAATTATGAAGTGGAAACCTTTTTCGGAATTCTAAAAGCAACCGTCATGTACAATACTCACTAGAAGATACAAAGCATTGAATACAGGACAACGTACACGTGCGATTGGTGTGATTGCCATTGTTTCGACATCTTACATAATCTAAAAGCTCTACTGAAAGTTTAATTCCTAAAAAATCATATATTTGCAACAAGGTTGCTCATCAGATTCTCAAAATCTTACATTAAAGAAAAGCATTTAAATGTTATGATAGGAACGCAGTTGCGTATACCAAAAGCCCGAACTTATTTTCATTGAAGAGTCAGGGAACAAGTGTCGCTGTGGTCTGGAACGCAGGCTAATTTTTATACGTGTCAATATGAATGCGAGAAGCATATTTGAACACCTGAGGGATTTTACTATACCAATATCTGAGCAAAATACTTAATATATTGGACACGTATTCACAACCTTCTTCCGCAAGGTAACGAATCAAACGCATGATATTTACCTTTGGATTCCAATCGTTAAAGGATACAACAGAACCCCTTGCTATTAATCATGCAAACTTGCTTCTGTTTTCAAGATTGCATTGGAGCATAGAAACCTCATAAGTCATTTTAAAGGTACTTTTCGTTCCCCTCTTGAACATTAATCGACGTTTCATACCATGAGGATGAAAATTACTTTTGTGAGATGCGTACAGTATCAACTTCTCCATGACTTTTAGAAACTACAAATGGCTTCATTACTTATTATCAGATATTCCTTAGATGAAATGCTCGCAAATTTAAAGGGCCACTCCAGCCCAAAAATTTTTTCTGAGATTTTTGCATAAATTGGTAGCTAGTCGAGAAAAAGAAGCTATCGTGAAATTTTTTTTCGAAAAGCTTAACTCGTTTTCCAGATATAGACGCTCAAAGTTGAGAATAACCGTAAAAATACGACAAAATTTTTTTTCGGAAAAAGCACTTTGTGACGTGTGAAAGGGCTATTGTTTCAACATTCGGCGCTATTGTTATACGTTCGCACTGAAATTCGCATGACTCGGTAGAGGCTCGGAAGAGGCGATTCATGTCGGAATCTCGGTTGTCGTTTTATTTATTTTCCTTCATTGCGATTGATGTTCAGCGGAAGCTTCCAGCCAACATGGACTAATAAATCGACAAATCAAAGATGGAAGCTTCAACCTGAACGCATACCCTCATCTTGGCAACGCAGCAAGCTTTTTGATATGGAATGCTTCACGAATTTTCAGATGTGAATGGATTTCTGACCGAAGGCATTTCTTATCGTCGTGTCATCTCAGGGATTTCAAGGGAGCTGAATAATAATTGATGTCTTAACGCATTAGAAGAAGAACCCTATTCACAAGATGGAAACTTCCCCGTAAGTCACAATTCATCCTTATTATCATTTTACTATGTTGAACGTTTGGCCAAACTGCAGGGTGTAGAGGTTTGGAGGGGGTTTGGGGAAGGTGTGACACGCACCCCCTAAGCAACGCAATTTGCCGGGCTTTGAGATAAACTTTGTCCTCTAAATATAAGTTTTTTAACAGCCAGTCTTGTGAACTGCCTCCCAAATGGTCAGAAATGTGGCTATATTAAAAGTACAACAGGGGCTCTCAAGCAAAATGTCACATAAAATAGTACCAAAAGTAGAAGTTTGCTACTTTTTTGTACCAACAAGGGGGACTGAGCCTCCTAGCACTACATCCCTGCCAATGATCTGTGCACTACACCTTTACCCGAGGTATAGATGTGTAAAATTTTCCAGGGTTTGTCTCCTGAACCCTTTTTCATAATGTTCTACCATGTTCTGCCTTCAATTTTGGAGTTCTACCTATTTCATCATAAAATTGATGCACAATTTCAAAATTTTCCAGATCAATATCCAGGGCAAAAGATCTACTACCCCAAAGATAAAACATGGAATTTACACCCTTGGTTTTGGAAAAAAGATGTGTCATATCCTCATTCTAATGTTTTAAAGGCAGAATTGTTTATATTTGTTAAATTTACCTTTGCTATTCTAGCATTGATTCATGTAAGCATGGCCTATATCATTTAAATTCATCTTTGTGTTACTTCAAATTAATATCCTTAGATGCTATTTGCTATAGTAACAGTGGTTGCCCTTTCATCCCTAAATCTCTCTTTGATCCTTTTAAATATCTATACTCTGAATGCCCCTGAGTGTCCAAGGTAGTGATTTCTTTGATCATTTTATGTTTTAATATGACTCTAAAGTAAATTTTGACTGGTATGTTAGTATTTATCCCTGTCAACCTTATTATTCTAGGCATAAAAAGGTAACAAACTCTTTTATGGATCAGCAGAAAGGATCTTGCAAAAAAATGCTAGATGAAGGTTGGAGATTACATGCATCCTGTTATCTGGCTACTGGCTTTAGGGGAGTGATAGCTTGCCACTCTCTTCCCTGCAAGAGTTACCACAAAGACCTCAACAAATTATTCTGTTTTTGTATTAACATTTTTACAAAGGAGACTATTTTTAAAATTATCAAAATTTTATATATAATTTGGTCATATCTATATAAAGTTTGCAAATACAGAACTATTATTTCAAACTAGTAACAACATTAGGTAATTTCTAGAAATTTTGCAATAGATTATTGTTTCATTATACTGTTATAAGAACATTTCTCATGTGCAATAGAAATTACAAATTGCTAGCTAGTTCACTGGCCTGATTGTATAGATATTTAAATATATAATTCAATATATAAATATATAATTCAATATATATTTAAATACAAACATGTGTTTATTATTCATAAATATAGCAGGTTGAAATTCTGACAGCTTAAAGGAGCTGAAAAGGCCCCTGTAATAGCTTAAAGGTTAAAAACAAAAATTATATTTACACAAGTATATTGAAAAAGTTGAATTATTAATATAATCTCAAATCCCTTCTTTTTAGTATAAAAACACATTTATAATTTTTGAAAAAGTTGTTTCACTCATGACTAATGGTAGGATTTTAGTCTTGTCTTGAAAGTTTGTATACTTTCTTGTCCATGCCCTCGATTGTCCTGGTTTATTTCTAATAAGTCATAGTCATGTTGATATGAAGCTCTTTATTCTAATGAATATGTGGTATCAATTCATACAGCTTTCATTCCCGGTATACTGGTTTTGTTTTGGTCTTTCCTCCTGAATTAATTGCGCGATGGTTTTTTTAGCTGTTGCACTAAAGGAAGAGCTGATGAAAAAGCGCGAATCTTCTTTTTAAAATCAGGGAACTGGCCTGCCAATACAATTTGTTTTAAAAGCAAATGAAAGTCTGTCAACATCCTCATGTCTCTGTCTCGCTGGCCTTCTTTGACAATTTGACTTCTCTGTCAGAAAGATTCGTGCGATAAAAACTTCCATATTCGATTAGAATATCAAGACTGATGGACGATACTTCTATCTTTATATCGATTCCAGATAAAAGTCTGGCCTTCTAAAAAGTATGCCGCTGCTAGGCCCTGTCTGCCATTTCGCTACGTTCTCGTTGACCCTTTGGACCGCCGATGATACTTGCCGCGAATTAACCGAGGCCGAAAATGCCTGTGACGTCAATCCGGAGATCTCCGATAACACGGTTGAAAAACAATTCAACTCAATGACCAATTTACAAACGCTAATAACTACAAAACGGTTAGAGATATGAAAAAAATAATAACAGATTCGTGTTCAGGAGGTCTGATTACATCGTATTCTGAAATAAAAATTTTGGGCTGGAGTGGCCCTTTGTCAAACCAACTGAAAACAAGAATGTTTGAACGATATAACCAGGACGAAATCTCTTTATTGCTGACTTTTCAAAGAGCATGGAAGTTATTTAAAATACAGAAATAACTAGTAATTGAAAGATCGAAAAATGCGTTTGCTTTTCTGACATAGAATTGCTCGATGCACAGAGTTAAAAAGTAATTGACATGTTAGAGGTTTAATTTACAATGAGACACATGTATCGTGCTCTTGTCGAGAGTCACATACGATATGCAAATAATATTTGGGGTAACATCTCTAATACAAAAAAAGGAATCCCCTCAACTTCTTCAAGACAGAACCGTTTCCGTGATAGATAGGTCCACGATAAAGGACGGATGGTCAAATAATTTCCCTAATACAACTTATTACATTTGATCGTGCAGTTATGGCCTATCAGATCATGAACAGACTCAGGCCCGAAAATCTCTAGAACAGATTCGAACAAAGATCCCAATATTCTAGTTATAACACGCAATTCTGCAGCAGAGATCTTCAAATCCCGAAGTATAATCTTGAGTATGCAAAAAAGGATTCTCCTATTCAGTCCTTAAAGTCTGGAATAAAATCCCATAACTATCAGGGAGCTTCCTACCATATGCCAATCCAAAGAACAATTGAAAACACATTTGATAAGCTGAAAGTCAACTAAAACACGACCCCCTGGAAGATCAGCAGCGTCCTAGCATTGATATTTTATATTTCATTTATAAGCTGTATGTAAACCATCAATTAATAGAATTTGTATCCTAATTATTAGCAGTTTATTTATTGTATTATTAGAACTAGCTGAAGGGGTATTCGTGTAAAAATAATATAAAATGAAACAATGTTTGCTATCAAACCTATTTCATAGTTAATTGGATCCTTAATATATCTATAAAAATATATAGAAAGCAATATACGACAAGAAAAAATTAGTTGCTCGCATCCAAAGAATTACTGGGCAAGCATCTGACTGTAAACGAGACCAAGACTAGAAGAAGAAAAATTGATAGAGCAAAAAGAGTCAACAAGAGAAATGAAGGCACTTAAAAGCTTGCTAAACGTCGACGAAGAGATCCGCAAAAGATAAGCGGAGGCGGCTTCCAACAAGCATCATCATCTCATGACAAACCGGAAAATGTCCCTACGCACTTGAGTCCCCGCGTACAGTGCGCTGGTAAGGCCGATACTCCTTTACAACTGCCAAACGTGGGACGCCCTAGAAAACCAGATTGAGAAGATCGAGAGCTTTGAAAGGCGCCTTATCGGGCGGGTCCTGCGCTCTTTCTACCAGCCGGGAGTCAGACCCATGAAAAACAAAGAGGTGATGAAGAAGACGAGCGCCCGTGGGCAAGAGATCAAAGGTAGAAGAATGGCATACCTTGGCCACAACATCCGGCACGAGGGCCCGGCGAAAAAGGCAATGGAGAAATACGTAAGGCCCGAAAAATTTGACGAAGATGGTGAAGGAGGAGATGAAGAATCGAGGAGCTACGGAGGACGACGCAGAAGACAGAAGCACCTGGAAAGCAATGACGCCACTACCGCCAAGACGCGCGGAAAGATCAAGAAAAAACCCAACCTATCTGAATGACTACTTTCTATGAACCTCCCGTATCCTCTCCTCAAGATTGCCTTCGTTATATTATTTTTGGATGAATGAATCCGCCTTCTGGGTTTTAACACTAGGAAAAACTTATTGTAATCTTCTAAATTACGCCAGAAAGCGCGAAATACAAGAATGTATACCGATATTTGCATTTATAATCTGCAATTTACAAAGTTTGCAAATTAGGTGCAAAAAAGCAGGATTTCGCTTGAGAAAACATCGATTTTGAAATTCACTGAGTAGGAATTCATCAGTACCTGCTGTTACAAATGAGAGTGATTTCGTTCTTGCAGTTATTTTCAAGTCAGATGTATCAATTCTATTTCCGAAACGTGTGATTTTTTTAGCGCAACAATTAGACAGGATTGGGAAGATCCTTTAAAGAATGTGGCCGAAATTGTTCAACAACATGACAAAATAGATCTTCTTGTATAAAGTGTACTAGTTTGTTTTTTCGCAAGAGGCAGGTTCGCTACCATCTCTTGAAAGTCTCTATCCACTTTTTCAATAAGGAACAGTTTAAAGGTAATGTGTCCAGCTATAGCAAGCAACTCTGCGGGGGTTTTTAAAAACATGTGATTTTTCATGTCATCGCCCCAGTCATTACGGTCGTTCTGTCTATTTATCCTGCTGCGAAGTTAGCTTTTCATGTGAGCAGTTTTGCATCGCAAGAATACTAACCAATCGCAAACTGTTATTTTGATGGGTGGCTTGACAAGTTGGGTATACGCAATCCTTTTATATGGACACATTACCTTTAAGATCGACAAAGCCCCCTATTTCTGTGAATACTGAGATACATAATAAAACAATAGTTTAAAGAACTTGCGATTGAATAGGTGTTATGTTTTACGCTATGCTGAGCTTTCGTCACCCTGCACTTTTCCATTTTACTTTTGCATCTAAAATCTAAAATGTAACTCTTAACAACTTTAGTATTAGAGTCAAGAAAAAATTCAAGAAACTGTGTAGTAATCCAAGGCTGACTTTTTTCAAAATACGTGAACATTCAAAACTGTTTTAACATTTTTTGCTTAGTACTAATCATTGCTTTTTGAAAAATGTAATAAGAAAATATCCCGCCCTGCCGAACCAGTTTCAATTGCATCCTGCTTGTTGCTTTAAGGTTTCATTATAGCAAATGCTCTTACCTTTATAGTACCAAACTGATAGGGCTTCTTCGAATCATTGTAAACTATGGTCACAAAGTTGTTGCCAATATGAAGCTTTTTGGAGTAGCAAGCTGGATCCGATTGTTTGCTTGGCATCAAAGTCGCCACGTGAAATATAACTGGAAAAAAAGAGAAGAAGCTAAAATTATATTATCCAAGAATGATGAATTAATTATCATCCCTTCCATTAAAAAGGCAAAAAATCTAGTAAAAAAGTTATCATTAAAATTTTGACAGTAGTAGATGTTGAAAAATACCAAGAAAACCTCGCAACAAGTTTCACTGGGATGCGAGGAAAAAGCGAAGCATTATAGCGCATATTTTAAGACAACACGCACTAGATGATCATGATATGATGGTTAAAAGATGACTAAGTTTTTATACTAGTTTCATTTCACTCCTTTAAAACTTTTGAGAAAAGTAACCCTTCAACAATAACGATTTTCAAGGCGCCCTCAACTCACATCTTAGAATATAAAACCAAAGTCTTTCAATAGTAATTTCTATTAAAAGACTTTGATAAAACATTAATGCTTGAAATATCAAACTTAGCTTTATTTTTTCTACTAATTATCATATAATCATACCGACTTAAAATTTTTAAACAAATCAGTTTAGATAACTTTTAAAATGAATCATATGGTTCTTTTAATGCGAAAAAAAGAGGAAATGGTCACAGCTTTCTGGCTCTAAAATTTGCAAGGCGTTTCTAGCACAATTTTTACTCCAGACTTTCAAAGGCTGTTAAATTGCCACACCACATCATAGATGCAAGGGGCCAAAACTGTTTCTAAACAAATTATGTCCTGTATTAAAAACTAAAATGCCCTATTCATTTGTTTCTTATGTTTTTTATGTTTGAATGCTTTTGTTTCTTAAACATTAAAATATTGTCTAAATTTTACCATTTCACACTGGTAATGTGAGAATAAATTGAAAACAATTAATCATCAAAGTTTTGAAAAAACTAAGAACAGCTGCCAGAACTTCAAGCGTTCTTCATGGAACTTGTGTGAAATTTTCTCCAACTATCAGGATTGTTTTGAGCGAAATGGGACGCCAAAAGGTGGTATGTATTTGAAAAAATAATATATATATATATATATATATAAACCAAGCCTTAGCTATGACATTACGCTTTTAGAAAGAAACCAAGAGACGGCATTCAAAAACAGAACTTGACAGCCCGGACCCGAATTCTTGTCCTAACTTCTCGTTCATTTTATGAAATAAATTTTGAAAAAAACTACGTTTGGCCGCCAACATGCAAAAACGGATGCTAGCCTTCGAGGAACACGCACAGGAAGGCGAGATCATCTACTTCAAAGCCGCCTATGAATTCCAGAATCAGACGGCAACATTTTTGTAATAGAAGAGATCCCCAATCTCTTTGTTTTATGTGCGAACAAACACGAATCTTTTATCAGTAATGACGCTATTAGTGTTCAGTTGTACACAAAAGATGCCTATTTCCCAGCAGCTAATTGGCAAGCTTACATTGTAAATAAACAGGTCTACAATTATGTACATGCTCGTTATGCCATAAATAGAGGAAAGGCGACAATCGTCTATTGTATACTTTGAACCTTTGGAATGTTTGCAGAGGATGCAGAGAAGGAAATCGGAAGCTGTTAGTGGAACTGATGACTATATGCTCGAAACCAAATACGAGACGAGACGGCAGAGAAAGAAAAGTGGAAAGGTAAGGGTTGTGTTGGTTTTTGTTTCTATCAAGATGTTAGATAAAAATGTTGATGGCAATACAGTACAGCTATGTACCAAAGCAGAAATCTGCGGTGAAGGAACATAAAAAATTGAATCATGTTTGGAAAATGATCGTGGCTCTTTAATGAATATAATTTTTTCGATTACACACTCTTTTTATTTGTCAATAGTTAAGAACAAGCTGAGGCTGTGCTATAGTAAATTGCAATTTTGAACAACGTTTAAGGGCCGGCGAAATGTATTTGAAAGTGGAGGGGCCAAAAAATCAAGGTTATGAAAGGTTTTTGGAAAGGCCACCATGTCTGGCGGCAAGAAAAGTTTTAGAAATATGGTATCTAAGGTATGGCCAGAAACAGTTTCTAAAATGGATTTTGACTGAAGGAAAATCCAAGGAAATATTTTCAAGCTTTTATCAATGTGTCGCATAATTTCGTCTATTGTAATGTTGACATGTAACAGGGAAGTTTTTGCAAATTTTTTGAAAAACCTTTTAATTGTAGCTCGTAATAAAGCTTTTTAGATTTAAAAAGGAGCCAAAATGAAATGGAGGAGAAAATGAATGAATCAAGCTTTAACAAAACCATCAACATTGAAATATCAAAAGAATTACTGTCAATTCAAAATGAACAAAAATTCTTTATTTCAAACAAAAACAAAAATGAATGATGAACAAAAATTCAAGATCATGCAACAAAAATACTTTATTTCTCATATTCTCAAAAATTTTCTTTCCAGCAGTTTCTTTTCCCTCAACAGTTTTCGCGAAACTTCCCGTCAACAAATAGACCTTAGGAGCAAAGTTAAGGCTATAGAAAAAACAAGACTCCATCATTTGGTGCAGGCAACAAAGTCTCTCTGAATCAGTTTTCTCGATCTATTCCCTTAGCCAACCTCGAGCCAAGCTGTTACTCGTTTTACCACTTTGACAATGACCGACTTTTTTGTCCAAATTCCTATTTTCAATTTTCTGTTTGTCTTCTTTGGTAAATACATAGCTACCAAGCTTAATTTAAGGTCACTTTTAAAATATTACTAAGAACACTTACTTACAGAAAGGTAGACTAGATTTCTTTCCACTTTGCCTGAAAAAATTATTTTGCTTTGCAGAAAAGTGAAGAAGCCATGGCCCACTTGCCCTCCCCCTGTTTCGCCGGCCCTGCGCTTTATCTCAGAAACGAGGGTTTTAAGCCATGTGTGGGTGCTTTTTCGGTGAATATTTAAACATGGCGGCAAATGATGGTTGCGTCACGCACTTTGTTGGCAAATGAGGCCCGAACACTGCCTAGCGCGAAAAGCTAGCAATCACACTGCTTATGTATAGCTTATAAATTTAAGAACAAATCAAGCACAATCCAGTCTCAGATTTTCGAAGAAATCAAGAACAATCAGCCTGAACTTAAATTTACTAGTTTTCATAAAAAAGACTGTAATGAGTTGCTTCGGTTTTTGTTTCTATCGAGGTGCCAATTGCGGTCAAGGAAAATAAGAAATTTGAATGTTTGAAAATTATCGTCCATCTCATTCTCGAAACAAAGCCGAGGGGCTAGTCAATCGTTGGAAATCTCATAAACCTTTCAAATAAATCGTAATGATTTATCAGAAAATCTGTAGAAATCCTTTAATTTTAGAGGAAATCTCTTATATTTTTTCTAAGAGGGAATTGCTTCACGAAATAGACAAATTCTGAATCGTCATTGCAAAAGCACGGTAAACATTACGATAGAAGTTTGAACATGATAAGCTTCGCAAATGCTCCATACATTGTTGGCGACACGATTTGCATACACGACTAGAATCAGCGGCGACACCAACCCTCGAGGCTGGTTGAAGCATTTCCTGCAAGTGCCAACTGTGAAGCCTCTTCCAGCTGTACAAAGGCAGTACCCGTTAGTGGACCAAACTGGATAGCCCAATGTGGTGTATCATAACCCAAGAAAATATTTAAAAATGCGCAATAGCAGTGAAATTTGTTACAAAATGGCTGAGATAGATGGTCTTGGTTTTCTAGTTTTATGACGCAACAGTTCGAAATTCCAAACTCGCAGGGGTCAAACTATTTTTTGTACTTCACCCGACTTTTTTCATACTACTTTGAAAAGATTTCAATCAAAATTAGATTTCTGTAGGGGAAGAGTGCGAGAGTTGGTCAATGCTTTCCGGCCTTTTGGGTCCCTTGGCGCGATTTTTGTAAATCATGTTCAACATCTATTGCATAACTAGAAGTAGCAAATTTCTTTGTTGCGCAGGTCCTTTATTGTTGGGGAGCCGAGTCTATAATGATGAGAATAGCGAACACATCAGAAATTCAACCTCAACAGTTATGTGCTCGCGTTTATTTTTGGCCTATTTTGATCCACAACTGGATATATGTATATCTTTAAACTCTTAAGAGTGTCAGATGAAAAGCTGAAGTATGTTCTAAAATATTTGCTTTTTTCAATGCCATTATTGAACTTCATTCCCTTGCATTTTAAATTTTTTGCCAAAACAAGCACCTGATCCGTTGGAATTTGTCACGTAACGATTTTGTTTATTCAAAGTTTTGCTCATAAATGCGAAACAATACATAATAACATTTTGTTATCTTATTGGGGAGACGAACCTAGATTCCTTTTGTTCAAGACTATTATTCTATCTACTTGTCTGAAGCAACAAGAAAGTGCATCAAATGGGCATGCGCATTTAATGAGACTCGTTATATATCATACCGTAAATCCTCGAATTGCCCCCCTCTAAAACCCCCGCCCCCTCGAAAAAGCCCCTCCTCGAATAAGCCCCCACCCTAGAACTACAAATTTCCAATAAGCTCCCCCCCTCGAATAAGCCCATACTGCTACTGTAAATTCTTGAATTGGACCCCTCCATTTGATGATTTTTGCCATCTGAGGTTGCCTATGGTGTTTTATTGAATTATCACAACTGTAAAATAAAGTATTTTTTTTTAAAACCAAGATTCTACAATAGCGATCGTATAATCAGCAGCAACCAACAACTACAAAATGACGACTTTACTCAACGAAAACTTCGACTCGACTGGACTTGCACTCAAAGAACATACGCTTTTAACAACACGAGTGACGCACATAAAACCCTAATGACACAAATTAACGGCAAATGAACTAATAACAACTAAAATAGAGATGGCACGATGACAAACAAAATTACTGACGCAAACATCGAAAGACATTCTCATTAACAATAACGAACCACAAACACGATGCACGACAGACAAAACTAGTTGTATAACATTACTCCCTCCTTCAAAGACAAGCCTCCTGGCTTGAATTATTCAGAGAGAGAAATGCAAATAGAACAACAAACAAAACAAGAAATTTAAAATACAGTTAGTTCACAATACAGCTACTTCATGTAATATCTCTAAGCGGTTCTCCGT